AAAAGAAAAGAAAAAAGAAATGTATCAAATTAATCCTTGTGATTATTTCTGGGTGGCGGTATTACAGATGATTTTTATTTTTCTCCTTTGTATATTTTCCAAATTTTCTGAAAGGAGATTCCATTAACTTAGTAATTTAGAAAAAATAAAAGTAAGTCTTAATTTTTTTTTCTGACTAGATGATTCTCTGAAATAAACTAACTGCTCCTGACTGGTTTCAGGACACCAATGACTCAGCCCTTCTGGTTAGGACACACAGATGCACTAGAGGGGTCCTGAGACGTGAGCTCCATGACCCAGACTTGTTTTGCTGCTTACTGGCTATGTTTTTCTGGGCAAAACAGTTCTGAGCCTATGTAATTGTATTTGTAAAATGTGGCAATTGATGTCTGCCTCATAGATGAAGTTTAAAGACAGCATAAGAAAAATGCTTTGAAAAGTACTATATAAATGCAAGTTATGTCTCACCTGAGACATAGATAAAACAGAGTACACACTCAAATCCCAAATGACCAACTTCTTGGTTTTATGACATCACTTAAATGACAGAACCTCTTTGAGCCTTAGCGTCATAATTTGTCAAGTAGAGATATTACTGGCTTCTTCAGAAGGTGGGTGTGAACTAAACACCTTATGTGGGACTCAGTAAATGTTTGCTTTCTTCCTTTCTTAGGCTCTGTCTTTCCCCACTCTGCTCTTACTCTGAAACAAGGGTTTTAAAAAATGCTCTAGCATCAGCACTTTCTAATCTAATTTTAAAACATATTATTTACTTTGATTTTTTTTGATATGTTAAAAATGTATGGACTCTTTTTCCTTTCTCCACCCTTTTATAGTTTGGACCAATAGCAAACACAAAGTACGCAGAACTTGGCAATATCAATGTGAAGACTGTGGACAAATTTTATGGGGTCATTTGAGCCTGAAGTCTTCCACAGAAAGCTCTGAAACTCTAAGCACTTTACATTCGGGCAGGAAGAGTAGGAAGGGTGAGAACGTCCTTGCTTTGGTAGGCTGAAATTATTTCAGCAATTAGATCTCCTTAGATTCTAGATTTATCTAAATATACCTGTGACATTCTGTAAATGTGCAGAACTCAGAATTCCTCAGGCTTGGTTTCTGTAGTGTCAATTGACAACCACATGTCTTGAAGTTTTGTTTCCTTTAATTAACCTTCTCCATTTTCAAATCAATTTTCTCACTTCCTCATGGTGTTACTGCTATTCTAAGGAATGCAGACCAAAGGGATCAACATTTCAAGACTCCAAAGGTTCGTATGCCAAGCCTGGAACTTTGCACACAAATAGATATCCAAGCACACTTGCTGTTCATTCTGTACACCCCAACTTAAAAATTCAAAGTCTAAGATTAAAGTATCAGAGGATTGAGTCCTAAGTTACTATTTGAAATCTGGTTCACCTTGTATAAGAATCTTTTCTTGTGGGAATGTTGAAGATTTTTGAGAAAGGAACAACCCACTGAAGACCCTCCCTGTTTAGGGAAGATTAACCTGTTAGGTGCTAGTAGATTGATCGACGGGGATGATCTGCATGTGCCATGATTGTGAAGACAGATTAAAAAAGGAAGAGGCAGATAAAAGACATATTGTAGCAGAATCTGCTAGTGCCCAGTCCATTTTTCCAGAGTCTTAGCACTTCACTGTGTTCTGGTTGATTTCTAACTGCCAGCGTCTACCCACCTTTAGTTGAGTGCTAAGGAATTCACAGCCCCATGCCAAGCAGCACTCAGTCAATGACTGATAAGAGTTGATACCTAAACACTCCAGCTCCCTTGCCCTTTGGATGGAAGAACTCTGAGCTGTGTTGTATTAGTTTCCTATTGCTGCTGTAAAAAAACTACCAAAAACTAAAGAAGAACTCTGAGCTGTGTTGTATTAGTTTCCTATTGCTGCTGTAAAAAAACTACCAAAAACTAAAGAGGCCTAAGGAAACATGAATTTATTACTGAACAGTTCTGGAGGTCATAAGTTTGAAATAGACCTTATTGGGCTAAAATAAAGATGCAGGTTTGAAGTTAGTACACTATTGCTTTGAAGGATGCTAACCAACCTTCTGGTACAAGTAGACCCAAGCTGTGGCCTGCTTATTCTTTGAAGGAGCCTTCTTGAATTCCTCCTCCCTTTATAATCAAAACCAAGACAGGAGAATGTGGTAGTGAAAATTCCTCCACACTATGCTGAAATCAATTATAACAGGCCTCATCTTAATCCCACTTAATTTAATCCTGCTATTTAATTTAATCCGTCTAACTTAATCCCACTTTGGTACAATCTGAATCTAGAATACTTGAGTTAAATCATCGAATACTCCAAGACTAGCAGAAGCCTACCCTGGATGGAAAAGGATAACAAAGTCACAAGGTACATAAAGTCAGAATCTCTTGTTTTTCATTCTGGCTATAAATAACCACATGATCTTAGACTAATCACGTAATCTCTCTCTGACTGATTTCATTTCTTCATGTAAAGACAGAATTAATAAAACTTACTCCTTTTTGGAGAGATTTCAGAGTTAAATGGAAAACTCTGTGAACTTGCTTTGAGTTCTAATACAATAGCACTAATCATGATGATTCAAAGGACAGTAAGCCTTTTGTTTTTCCCATGAATGCAGGTTTTAGTCAAATGCCAGCCAAGTATTCTCTGTACACTTGATGCTCCTAAAATATTTATTGTTTTTGATAATGAAGAATAATGTCTTATGCAAAGTAATCTATTCACAAACTTTCTCCCAGTTGGAACTGATATATGTTGAGCCATCTCAGTTATTCTGATAAAGCCCCTCACTACATTTGTATCTAACTTCATCAGAAACAAATGATCTCCTCGATACACTTTGGAGAGTTCTGCAAGATTTAACAATGGATGGTGACTTGTTGCATAACAGAACACTTGACTTTTTGCTCTATTTTAAATTACATTTGAGTATTTTTTATTGATAATCTATTAAATCTAGGGCTCCAAGAACTGGTCTTCCAGTAGTTTATATAACAATAGCTACAACAGCAACCGATGTCTGCATCTTGCATTACAGTTGGCAGTGGCTTCCTATAGTTAGATGTTGCCCAAACTTCAGTCATTTTTATAACAACAGCACAATATTTTGCCATATTTTCTTAATTTATGTGTTACTTTTAACCAAGTGTTTTATCTTAAATTGACTTACCTTTTAAAATGTAAATGTTTATTTAAAAAGTGAACTTCATATCACTACCACACCTAGAAAACCAATATTGTTTGCCATAAATAGAAAATACATAATTCATTGATTTAGCCATTCCATAAAGTATACATATAGCAAAACATCATGTTCTGCACCATAAATATATACATTTATATTTTCAAATAAAAAATAATGATTTTTGAAAAGAAAGCAAATAAATGCAATGCAACAAAAACAAAACAATATTGTTCAGTTTCTGCCTGATACTGTTGTTGGGTAAAGGTCCCTGAGCTTGAGATACAATCTTCTGTGTTTGTGTGTGTAAGTGTGTGTCCCAGAGAGAAAGACAGAGAGAGAGAGACTTGCATATCTTATATGAAATTTAGAGACAGCTCTATATTGAGACTTTTAGTAAATTATTTAGATTTTTGGAAAGGATATGATGGATTAGAATCTTAGCAAGCAGTGCAGATACTGTATTCATTTTACAGATGATAAAGTTAGGGCTCAGAGAGATTACATGACTTATTCCTTGAATACTCAGTAAATGGCAGAGCTGGGTTTCAAACACAAGCCTTTTCATTCCAAATCCTGTGCTTTCTCTAACACACTCAAACATTCTTGGAGTGAGAGGGGTTGCAGAGGGCTTAGATGAAGCACACTGAAGATCCGTTCCCTCTGTCATTTATAATCCGGTCAAGGAGATGAGAGGGACCAAGTAATAGATTTAAGTCATCTCAAGAGAAAGTAGAAAAGTATGTTTTGAGATAATTGGCCCAAAGAATAATGGTGAAAATATTTAGCAAGTGAGCCCACTGTAAGTTGGACTATTAGGGGAGACTTTCTGGAAGAAGCAAGATTAAAACTCTTGTGTTGAAGGGTGGATAAAATTAGATGAATTGAAGATAGAGGTGAAGCCATTTCAAGTGATAACAGCACTTTGATCAGAATAATAAAAAATGTCAAAGCTCTGTCTTGGTTCACTGCAGATAGGGAAAAATGCATACATATGACAGGAAGTACTATGGCTACATTTTAGAGTCTTATGTGCTACAAAGTAGAATGAATCACTATTTTGTAATCCTTAAAAATAAATTATTTCCCTCAAAATATGTACGATTCAGCAAACTATCTACAGGGCTTTTTCTCCTAAGGAAATAATGATGGATATATACTAATATTTGTAAGAATGTGTCTCATCCTAGCAGGGCAATTGGAAATAACTCCAGTGTTTGATCATATGGGGCTTAGTTACATAAAGTTAACTACATCAATACTGGGGACCCTGTGCAATCTCTAGAAAAGATTTCAACCTTTGCTACTAAAACGTGGTCTGTGGACCAATATTGTCACCTTTACCTGGAACTTGTTAAGATTCAGTTTCTGATGCAGTAGATCTGGGGGAGGGCCTGAGATTCTGCATTTCCAATAAGTTCCCCAGTGATCTGCACATGCATTAACATTTGAGAAGCAGAGGCACATGATTAATGACATGGAAAGATATTTGCAATTAAATGAAACAGGCTGATTTCATAAGAATTAGTTCCATATGATACTATACTGGTAAATTTTTAAAATATGCATACATTTACACATAAGAGAAGGAAATAGGGAAAGAGAGTGTGTGTGTGTGTGTGTGTGTATGTGCAAGACAGACAGATGGGAAGAATATATATTAAAATACCAACAGTGGTGGAATTACTGGAAATTATTTAAATTTTTTTCTGTGTTTGTATATTTGCATCTACCATGAACATTCATGCCTCTTTCAAAATATAAATAATAAAACTATATTTTCAATTCCTTTTCTGTTTTCAGAATTTTACTGAGTTCTTTCTGGAAAAATAAACAGGAACCCAGAGGCTGAACTGGAAGAAAACAACTCACAGGGATTTAATCAATGTAACAAGAAATTGTCAGAAGAAAGAAAGACTTACAAGATAAGAATTTTCCACTAAGTGTGAAGTAAGTCTATGTAACCTTCACGTCCCTAGCGCTCTTGGAATTTATTTTAAAAACAAAACTTTTTTTTTTTTTTAAAGTAAGGCTATAAAACTCCAGGAGCATAGACATTTTCAAGACTGCCAACTGGGAAAGTACTTTCAGGATGAAACAGATCGGTTTCCCTTAACAAGTATTTTTAGTGGTTTTACTCTGAGTTCTGGTTGGGAATATTCCAGCAATGTCACTTAGAAGTTGAAAGAGGACCCAACTGCTTTGTCAGAATGATTCTTTGCCTGCCTTCTCCCTTGGAAAATTTACCTTAATCTTTATTCATTTCTGTGCGTTGTCCCCATTTGGGTGATCCCTTTGTTCTCAGCATATGATGTTGAGAACAGCTTCACTATTTCTTTGCTGCTGGGATGTTTAGGCAATGGAAGTAAGTTAAGATGATTAAATGAGATAATGCAAATAAAACATTTATTATAAAGGAAATACTTAAAAAGTTGACTGATTGGGAACTGGCGTTGTGGCGTGACTATGGGGACTATGCAGGGAAATATCAACTGCCCCCGAACAGAACTGAAGAAGAAGCTGTTCAAGCACCTGTGGGTATTGAACTGGGAGTGGCATCTGAGGCACCGGGTGGTTGGGACTGTGATAGACAAAGGGCTGCTCATGCAGCACCACCTCAAGAAGCGGGCATCCAGTGCACGTACCAACATTACTCTGTCCGGTAAGAAGCGCAGAAAACTTCTCCAGCAGATGCAGCTTGCCTGGAAAGAGAAAGCAGCCATGGAAGTGGAAGCCCCTCAAAACTATCCAGGTCTAGTGAGCCATAGCTCAAAAGGCAAAAGAGGACAAAAGTCGCTAGGATGCAGAAATGAAGGACCTTGAAGATGCGAGCGAAACCTCTTCCTCTAGAAGATTCTCAACTGGATCCAGAAGGACTCAGTGGTTGTTTTAGAGGACTTTGGCAAAAGCAGTGTCCCTTTTCACCAGATTTCCTCCTCCCTTATCCTCCCATAGAAGGATGTCAGGGAAGAGGGTACAGAAGAAAGATTGGAGAAGAGCCTCTTTACAAGTCAACTCCATTTGTAATAAAGCCCTAGCACTCTGAAAATAATTTTTTGACTGATTAATTCATCATTCAACAACTGTGTACCATGTGACCATCATCTACCCCTATGGGCAGAGGATGCAGACGATCCCAGAGTTGTTTCCTTACCTCAAGATGCTTTCAGGTAAGGGGATATAACCAAGGAAACACAAGTACCCTGCAGTGTCACAAGTGCCATGACAAGGAGAGGGCCAGGTATCCCAGGGGCAAATAAGAGGAGTACTAGCCCCATCAAGTGGGGGGGTGGTGGTAAAGAAATCTTCCTCATTGAAATGACATCTGCTTTGAAATATGATGGACCAGTAGGTTTTGGCCAGGAATAGCTGAGAAGTTCCGGACAGTGGGAATAACACATTTACATGTTCAAATATGAGAAAGAACACAATGTTCAGGTGATCAACAAACTAAAAGTGCTAGGATATGAGTGTGGGGTGGAGGGTGGGGGCAGTAGAAACAAGGAAAATAATATGAGGGATCTGTAGAGCCTGGTCATGAATGGGCCTTGTCAGCCACGCGGAGGAAGTTTCACTTCATCCAAAGGGCTGAGGGAAAGATTAGGGTCAAATATGGTATCATGGGGGTTTTAGGCAGATTGCTCTGGGCACAGGTGGAGAAAGACTGGAGACAAGCCAGGAGGGCTGCAAATCAGCCAGCTGGGACGCTGCTGCAGGAACACAGGGAGAGATGATCCTATCCTCAAGCCAATGGAAATGGATGACTATACATGAAATGAGACTGGTGATTAACTGGAAGTTGGGAGATGATGGAACAGACCCAGAGAATGTACTTAATAAATGCCCATTTTCTTCTTTACTTCTCCACAGATATCTATTGGCCACTTCAGGCCAAGGAAAGATTAACCCAGTAGTAGTAAAAAAAAAATTTCTAGAAGCAAAATAACTGTGTGTTTAGCAGTTCTCTAAGTAAGGTCTGGGAATTCTTGAGGGTCACTGCATTTCTATTCGAGGGGTCTGTGAGGTCACAACTATTTTCACAACAATTCTAAGATGCTGTTTGCCTTTTTTGCTTTTATTCTTTCACAAACATGCAGCAGATTCTTCCAGAGGCTACGTGATGTGTGATAATGCAATTGCTGTGATGGCTAAAGTTATATGTGCTTGGATTTTCTTGAGCTTTAAATTGTCCCAGTTTTAATTTCAAATATAGTAAATACAGAAAGATATAGTCTCCATAACAAAAGCTCTTTGGGGTCCTCAATAATGCTTAAGAGTGTAAAAGAAACCTGAAGCCACAAAACTTGACAACCAATGCCATAAATATTTAAAGAAAATTTTAAAGGCATCCACTACCAAGAGCTTAAAAAAATTACGAGTGAGGATAAACTCTACTGACTGAGGAGCCTAATTCTTATCTTAGTTTTGTTGTCCTTTCAAATCTGAGCCGTTGCTGGCTTAATATAAAGATAATGCCTGGGATTTTATTTCTAGAAGAACACATCCAACTAACAAAATCAAAGCACATACCATACAATGTACTAAGTAGAAATATGAAATCCATATATGCGATTCTGAATATACTTTGTTCTTTAAACTTATTTTTAAAGTTGGAAAACAGAGTCACTGAGTAATACTCATATCTTAGAACAAAATCTCTGTTGTGTAGGCAGAAAAGCAAAATAGAAGCGACAGTGTGGGCAAGTGGAAAATAACACAGTGAGGAGAAATGATGCAAACTAGACTCAGAACCAGAGCTGTAAATCCAAGTTGCCAACCCAAAAGGACTTCAGGATCCCCTATGAACCATTATTTCAAAAAACAAGGGCAGTTGGCTAGCAAATCAAGTATAAACCTGGTAGTCATTCACACATCATTTGAAGAGGCCTGGAGACAGTGGAGGACACTTTTCTGTGCCCCTGAACAATACCAAAGTGGCTGCCCTTCCAAGAGGTCATCAGGTGTCTCAGTACAAAAAGTCTGGGGAAGGTCAGGATAAGAGCAACACAGAAAACAGCCCCAGAGACTGAGGGCAGTCAGAGTTCCACGCTTAGGATGAGGATTCCATATGGCTCTTAGGAATGTGATGTGGCTAGTACTAGCCACATCACATTCCTAGGGAGGAACTGAATGCTTAATTTTATTTCATTTTCACTAATATAAATTGAAAGAGCTATGAGTCTAGTAATGACCATACTCGAGAACTCTATTCCAGAACTTTAGTGAAATGATCTTCCCAACCTCTGGAGAGCCAACTCTAAGATCTCCCATCATGGTGCAAGATGGGTTTGAATGTACTCTTCAGGTAAACACGTATGTGAAATCCTTGTCTCCCACCAAAACCCACTCAGCTCCCTAGGACATCTGCCAGCAAAGCCAGCTAGTTCTCCTTGGGGAGTTTGGAATAGGAGCTTAGTAAAGAGGGAAGCAGAGCAGACAAAGGAGAGGCAGGAGTCTTGCCTGTTACCCCACGTGACCTGGCCCTGAGCTATCTTCCAAATTCTTTTCCTGATATGTAACTGCTTGTTACCGTGCTCCAGCAACACACCCCCCCTAGTTCTTCCTTGAATATATCAAGCAAGTTCCCATCTCATGGTCTGTTGTGTTTATTTACTTTCTTCTTATCCTGGAATGCTCTTTCTCTGGATCAGGGTTTCTTAACTTCAGTGCTAGTGACATTTTAAGCTGGATAATTCTTTGCTACAGGGACCTGCCCTCTGCAGCACAGGGTGTTTAGCAGCATCCTTGTTCTCTATCCACCAGATGCCAGTACCATCCCTTCCCCCAGTTGTGACAATTAAAAACTTCTCCAGACATCAAATGTCCCTGGAGAGGCACAGTCACCCTGGTTAAGAATCACTGCCCTAGATATCTGCATGATTCACTTTCTCACTTAATTTAGTTCTGTACTCAGATGTCACCTCCAGGGAATCTTTTTCAAAACCTTGTACCTCTCTGTCCCCTTTCCCTGTTTTACTTTTCTTCCCAGTATTTATCACTAGTTAACATTATATCAGATACTTCTTTGTTTCTTCTTTCTTTGCCTGCTTTGTTTACTGCTGTATCCTAGCACCTAGTATCTAGCTGATTGTTAGATGCTTTATAAATACTTATTGAATGAAGGAAGGAAGTACCTGCACCATTTGTAAAGTCAAGAGACAGGAAGTTTTCATTCTGGGAGAATGGACACATGTCACCAGAAGAAAAGCTTTAACTAAATTTAGCTATTAAAATCTGTATTGGTTGTTATATAACAATGATAAGGCTTTAGGGCATTTTCTAATAATGGGCATACTTTTACTTACCTTCTCTAAAATTGTGCTTTGAATGCAAAAATAAGTTATAATTTTAAATGTATTTGTCAACCACTTTTATAAATAGTATGCAATTTTGAGACCTAAAACTGTGGTCATGTCATATCATCAAGAATCCATGTTCTTACCTGATTTTAACATTGATGTCTCTTTGCCATTGTGCAAAAGACATTTTGATAATGAGAAGAAGGCCTGATGAAAGGCCTACATTTTCCTTCATAGTTATAAATTGAAAATGTGTTTCCAAGAGGTTTTATTAGCATTACTGTGTATAAGCCTATCATTTCATTAACTCCAGCCCTAGGAAATTTAATCATGTGCTGAAGTCCTTACTTACTTGTAAGATTGAGGTTTTTCACCCCTGATGATTTGTTATAATCTTTCTGAATTCCTCAAGAATACTAGACTAATTTATAAGATGCTGACTTTCTTCTGGAAAGAAGTATAAATATTCGAAAGAAATTACAAGCACCAAGTAAATTGCACATTTTGGAGAATAAGGGAAGAATATCTCCTAAGTGTTGGTAGATGGTCAGAGTATTCTCCTACAACCTGGATCTAGCCAATTATTAAATGAAGTCCCATAACACCTCAGCTCCTAAAAATCTGCAGGGACTAAGAACTTCTGAATATATTAACTAGAAT